GCGCCAGTAACCACAAGAACCCAAGCCAAAATAAAACCACAACTGGACAGCCAAACTGGGATTGAATTCAGAAAAAGTTTGGAAACAGATGATTGGTTCCAGAAAAACAAACATGTGTGCACAATGAGAGACGGATTGCCTTGGGTAGGGGAAAAGTTATATATACCAACAACTCAAAGACTAACTTTCATGCAACTTTGCCATGACACAAAATCAGCAGGGCATTTTGGATTTGTAAAAACTTTACACTTAATTAAACGGCAATTTTGGTGGCCATCAATAAAAAAGGACATAGAAAGTTATGTTGCCAGCTGCCCAACCTGTGCATCAGCAAAGAGGTTGCAAGGGAAATCGCCAGGGCTGTTACAACCAGTGGCAAGTCCCTCAGCCCCCTGGAGGGAAATAGCCATGGATTTTATAGTGGAATTGCCTGAAAGCAATGGGAATACTGTTATCTGGACAGTCACGGACCTATTTTCCAAACAGGTGCACTTTATCCCTTGCCAAAAAATTCCCACTGCAAAGGCCTTAGCAAAACTTTTTATCCAGCACATTTACAGATTGCACGGGGCACCCCAACGCATCATCTCTGATAGGGGAGTGCAATTTACGTCTACATTTTGGAAGGAATTTTTATCCCTCTTAGGGACCACTCAGGGACTGACATCTAGCCATCACCCTCAGACAGATGGACAAGCGGAACGCTGCCAGTCGGTACTTGAGCAATATTTGAGATGTTTTTTAAATTTCCAACAGAGTGATTGGACGGACTTACTTCCTTTTGCAGAAGTTGCCTACAATAATGCAGTCCACTCCAGCACAGGCTACACTCCTTTTCAAATAGCCAACGGCCAAAGTTTCAACCCTATGCCAGAGTTAACCCCAAAAGAACCAACGATCCCTTCACTGAAAGAATGGATGGAAAACCTACAAAACACCTGGCCAATAGTCAGAAAATCACTAGATGAAGCTAGGCGGGCATACAAAGCACACGCCGATAAAAAAAGGGTTGAGCCTACACCATTCATTATAGGAGAAATGGTGTACTTATCTACAAAATACCTAAAGTCCCTACAGCCCTGTAAAAAACTTGGACCAAAATATATAGGACCTTTTCCAATTAAAAGGATCATAAATCCAGTAACAGTAGAATTAGAATTACCCAAAAACCTCAGGCAAATACACCCAATTTTTCATTGCAGCTTGCTGAAAAGAGAGCATCAGTCACCTCTACGGCCAAAAATCCCCCCCCCACCACCTCCAATCATGGTGGAGGGGGAACAACACTTCGAAATAAAAGAGATCCTTGACTCTAGGAGATATCGTGGAACAACTCAGTACCTAGTTGCCTGGAAACACCTCCCTGCCTCACAAAATGAGTGGGTCCATAAACGTCACGTCAGAGCCCCGAAGCTATTGAAGAAGTTTCACACAGAGTATCCTAACAAGCCTAACTAAATTTTTTACTTGTGTTTTCTTTCAGGTGGATCTCTCTTATTGTTAAGAGGGGCCGGATGTCAGAATCCAATTATATTTCATCTTTAATTATCAAACATAGAAACTCCCAATTCTGCCTTCTCTGGATTCTGCCATAAGAGGGAGAAAAGGGGGAGAGCAAAGGGGCTTTATGGCCCTCACTTCCTTCAGCACACTTCAAAGGACTGAATGTGTGTTTATTGTGGCCTCTAAGCTTTAACATATCAAAGAAGAGTAATTGCCTTTCATGTAGTTATCTGAAGTCTCCATCCAGACGGAAGAAGAAAGGGGATGGAATTGTGATACTTGAAACTATCACTGGAAGGGGGGTTGATTGGGTGGGACTACTGGGGAACCCCTTAAAACCTTGAATGGGAGAGCTTGAACCCCAAGTCCTGTCTAGCATGCCTGCAACCATTTTCTCTTAATAAAGGATTCCTGTTGGAAGAGCTATTCCAAGAGTTCTGTCTTCTTAAGATGCAAAGTGGGGTGGGTCCTTACATTGTGCTGTATGACCATGTGAGGGAGCCAAAGATTGTAATATTACTAATATTACTAAATAAAATTGAATTAATGCTATTAATCTTTAAATCTTAGTTATATCTTAAGAGATTGGAAAATGACAACACAAAAATATTAAAGAGAAGAGGGTCAGAGAATTAAAATCTCTAAGAGCTATTCTGAAAGAACATATAAGCAAAACTCATGAAGCAATCCAGACAATAGGAGCAAAGCTTGAATCCAAAATTAATATTCTTTCAAGGGAACTCTGTGAAGCAATACATCATTTAACTGGAGACGTTAAACAGATAAAGGACAGAGTAGATTTCCTGGGGTGTAAATCGGAGGAGAAAGAAGAAAGATGTCCAGTATAAAACTTATTTAGATGAAAAAGCTCTTCTGCAACTACAGCTTAAGCAACTCCAGTTAAAATTTTGAGCAGTTCCTGAATTGTCTGGAGAGAATATTGGATCAAGAATAATTGGTAAGAAAAGAAATTACAGCTTAAAGTGGACAAAATATATAGAGTAAACTCCAGAATTGCTACCACAAGTAAACTATCAAGAGATATCTTAATCCATTTTGTAAGCAGAACAACAAGAGACTACTTTTTGAATTGCCATTTCAAATCTAAATTGAGAATAGAAAACACGGATATATGGTGGGGGAAAGGGTGACATATTTGGATATTATATCAACAAATACAGATTCTAATGTTAGAAATCCTGACCAAAATCAGCCATTTCCCTTTAGAAAACTCAAGCCGAAAAATAAAAGGTTCACCAAAGGAAAAAAAAAAATCTTTTCCACCTCAGCTACCTAATAGCTCCAAGAACAGGCAGGCAACCAAGAACCACGTAACAAGCGGATACATAGTTAGGATAAGAAAACCACAGAAAAGTAGGCAGCAGCAGCAGCCCTTGAAAAAACAATAGAGATTGACAGGATTAGTTTAAAACACACATGGGAACCCATCTGGGAGCCCTGTCTTCCCCTGAGAATGGGATTAACCTTTTCTTCTCAGGAAAAGACTGGGCTAGAAAAATTATAAAAACAAAAGCACCATCAAGAGGCACTGGGATTCCAGTAGCCCAGAAAAGGTATACAAATTGCATTACTTGTTCATCTGGTCAGCTAGCTAGGCCGGAACCCTATTGCTGTGTCACTTTTTGGCTTCCGAGTTAAAGGTTCCACTTCTGGCTGTTCACTTCGCTTTGTGTCTATTTCTTTCTGCGCTGACAACCCTGTCCCAGCTGGAAAAACGAACCGGAAAGTTTTCTTTCCACACTAAACTGTTTCAGATATATATCTGTGCCTCTTTGGAATGATATTAAAAAGGACTTATTAAGATGGGACAAATTGCAATTATTCGTATTGGGTAGAATCACTGTAATTAAGATGAATGTTACAGAGTCTTTCATTCTGTAATTCTGAATGATGCTTTTTTTGTTTCAGATTTTACCAATATTTATAACTGTTATTCCATTTAAACGGTGACAGAAAGACATCTCTATATAGACATCTCTATGTTTATATGGCAAAGGGAAAAAAACCCCAAGAATTAGATATTAAGTATTGCAAGATCCTAAGGAAAGAGGAGTTTGGGTTCACCAGATTTGAAATTATATTTTGATGCCTTTTTTTGGTCTGGCTAAGAGTGGGTGGCTCTCCAAACTAAGTGTTTACTTGAGCTGAAAGGCCATGAATTAAGATTTGGATGGCATGCTTATTTATGGAATGATAAGGTTAAAAAATGTTGATTTCAACAACCACTTCGTTAGACATGCCATCCTAAGAATTTGGAATAAATATAAAGTAAGGTTTTCTGCAAAGATGCCTCTTGGAAGCATCCTTTAGGAAGATGCTTAGGAAGCTTTTTTAGAAAAGAAATGATGGTGAAGCCTATGGTCAAATAATGTTTTTCAATTATGGTGACCCTGTCCGCAAGTCTGAAGAAGAAGAATCTGAAACATATTTCCCATTGGTTCACATATATACAACTGAAAGAAAGATTTAGATAAAAAATACCTATGGACTTGATTTTGTAAAAAAATGAATTAAAAATTTTATTGTGCGGTAGTAATGAATATATTATTGCTAAGGTTTATAAATTGCTATTGAAATTGAACTTGCAGAATGAGTATGTAAAGCAGTGTATGACTCAGTGGGCAGAGAACTTGGCATATAATATAGTGCATGAACAATGGGAAAACATGTCGACAGAAAGTTTAAAATTTACATTAAATTATAATTTAAAAGAAAATGTTGATAAGATGATGTACTGTTGGATCTAGCACTAGACAAATTGTCAAAATGTATAAAGATACTTCAAATCAATGTTGGAAATGAATGTAAAGAAGGAACTTTTTACCATTTATGGTAGGCATGTGACAAAATAAAGAAATATTGAGTAGGACTCACATTTAAATACAGAAAATTCTTAAAGTGAATATAAAGATAAAACCAGAGACTTTTCTTTCAAGCTTAATGGATAAAAAACTTGGGGAAAAATTGGAACTTTGATGCTATATATGCTAACAGCAGCCAGAATATTTTATGCTCAAAAATGGAGGAATATTTTGATTCTCACAATGAAAGAATGACTGTAAAAGTTGATGGAGTTAGCAGCGATGACTAAATTGACTATTTTGATTAAAGAAAAGAATACAATTAATTTAGTTTCTACTTGGAAAATACTTTTGGATTTTGTGTTTGCGGGTGGAAAAAACGAAACTTTGATTTGAATTTTGCTGATTAGATAGGTTTGTTATTATAAGAAATGGCTAGTATGTATTATTATGTAAAAGGAAAAAGCTGAGGTATGTTATTAACTTATTCTACTGTACACTTCATCCTACATGTTTTTTTCTTCTTCACCCTTTCTTCCCGTTTACCCATTATTTTCATTTTTGTTTGTATTTCTGTATTTTGTATTTTGATTAACTAATACTGTTTAAAAAAAGAATACCGTCCATATGTGTTTATCAAGAGATAATTGTAATTTTTTGGACTCTTCTCTGCAGGCTTGTTGGACAGTTCCTCACTGAATCTGGCAGCAGGGATCCTGCAGAGGTACTGAAGAAAAGTGAGGAATTGAAAGAGTTAACGTTGCCCCTGAAGAACACATTTGACAAAATAATAGAGTTGCTGCCTGAGTTGCTGAAATATCCAGAATGTATAATAGATGCACTATGGTAATTCATTTTCTTTCACTTTCAGTTTTATATGCACAACTCTCTTAACAGTTATATACTATCCAGGGAGAGGCAGATCAATAAAGGAGAATATTTGTAGCTAAGGGTTGAAATGAGGGGCCCTTGTTGCTCTCTGAGCTTGCTTGTTTTCTTGCAGACATTTCATCACCCAAAATGGTAGCATCATTAGTGCTAGATGGAAGTGGAATTTGCTCTTAGTTTATATTCTGACATTAACAATATATATAAACTATGCAAAAGAGATAATCAGCTAGCCAAAAAAGGGAACAAAAATATCCAAGCACCTCTCCATCAGCAATCATCACCCAGATCAGCATAGATTTACTCCAAGATTAACATCAGACCCCCAATCAAGTAAATAATACCTCAATCAAGAAACTCCCAACAAAGCAAACCGCAAACAGCCCAGCTAAAGAATCTTTAAGGCCACCCCCACCAATATTGACAAGGCAAGACACCAGAATATAAATTGAGAGCAAACCCCACTTCTAACCAGCATTGATAATGTTATGTAATTTGGGTAATGAAACATCTGCAAGAAAACAAGCACAGAGAACACCAAGGATCCCTCAGAGGCAGATCAGTTGCCATACACAATCCTATTTTCTTCAGTTCTTACAACTGTAAAGTTCATTCTTGTTTTTCAAGAAATGTAATTATTCAGAATCTTTTCTTCAGGTATCTTGAAAATTTTGTGGCAAAATCCAACTACAGACACATTGAGGAGATACTCAGAAAGAACCAGAAATTGGAAGAGTTTTTCAAGAATGACTCAGATGACTCAGATGACACAGATGACACAGATGACAAAACACTGAAATTTATTTTTGATGAGTTCATAGATCTAGCAGATAAAAAGCAGATGACACAGTAAGTGATTGATTTTTTTTCTTTTCAGTTTAATGTGTATAGTCATATCTTAATGATTAATATAATAGAAATATATTCAGGGAGAGGAAGTTCAGTTACTATACATAAATTATATTCTCTTCGGTTCCTATAAGAATATAATCCATGCTTGTTTTTCAAGAAATAATTATAATTTTTTGGACTCTTATCTGCAGACTTGCTGGACAGTTCCTGATTGAATACGGCAGCACGCATCTTACACATATTTTCAGGAAAGACCGGAGATTGAGAGAGTTAGATTCGTTTCTGAACAACATAGTTGTCAAAACAATAGAACTGCTCCTTCTGGGATTCAAAGAATCTGAATGTACAAAAAAGGGACTAGGGTAACTTATTCTTTTTCCTTTTAGATGAAAGTACATAATCTTCTCTTAACAGTTAATATTCTGGAAATATATCCAGAAAGAGGCAGTTTAGTTGTTATACATAATCATGTACTCTTCAGTTCATACAACACAGTCCATGATTGCTTTTCAAGAGTTAATTGTGATTTTTCTGATTCTTCCCTGCAGGCTTCTCAGACAGTTCCTGAATGATTCCTGCCACAGGGTATTTGCAATACTTGAAAAAAATCAGGGATTGAGAGATTTAGAGTCATTCGTGAAGAATATATTTGCCAAACCAATAGCACCGCTGCTTGAGGAGTTAAAAAATCCAGAATGTATACAAGCTACATTACAGTAAGTAATTTTTGCCCTTTCAGTTTAAGGTACACAACCTTCTCTTAATGGTTAATATTTTTGAAATATATCCAGAGAGAGGCAGTTTAGTTGTCATACACAATTATATTCCGTACCTACAATAATATAGTCCATGCTTCTTTTTCAAGAGTTAATTTTAATTTTTCTGACTTTTCCCTGCAGGTATATTGGACACTTGCTAAATGAAGCATGCAGCTTTTTACTTGCATATCTCAGCGAAAACCAGGAAATGAGGGAAATGGAGTCATTCCTGAGGAACACAAATGACCAAACAACGGAACTACTCTGTGAGGGACTCAAAGAAAGTAATATAGAGACACTACAGTAAGTAACTGTTTTTTGCTCTGTGTGTGTTTGAGCTGCACAACTCCTTTCATTATTAATGTTCTTTTCTTTTTTTTAAAAAAAAGATCTTTATTGTTTTTTTCATACATTCAGTAGTATTTGTCTGAGTTTACATTCACTAATACATATTTAGTTCCTATACTTTATTCTTTCCTCAAACAATAGAAAAAATGTCCCAAGTTTGATAATATTTCGTTTCTTCTTTTTCTTTCAGTCTCAGAGTCAGTCTGCCCATCTCTGTGCATTCTAATATTTTTTTAATTATTTCTTCATCTGATGGTATTTCTTCATTTTTCCAATACTGTGCAAATATAATTCTTGCCGCTGTTGTAACATGCAAAGTCAAATATATGCTTTGTTTATCAGTCTTTTCTGGCATTTTACCTAATAAAAAAAGTTCAGGTTTAAAATCTACGTATTCTCCCAACATCTTTTCTAGCCAGGCATGTATTTTTTTCCAATAACTCTTTGCTTTGGCACATGTCCACCAAACATGATAACGAGTGCCTGACTTATGTTTGCATTTCCAACATCTATCTGACATGTTTTTAAACATTTTTGCTAGTCTTGCTGGTGGCAAGTGCCATCTATAAAACATTTTATATACCGTATATGCTGGCGTATAAGGCGACTTCCGCAAGCGCTAAAATCAGCGCCAAAGACGGGAGTCGTTTTATATGCTGAGTCGTCTTATATGCCGGAAATACTGGTAGTTTCCGGCGTATAAGATGACATTCTAGGAATGCGGCCTGGCTATAAAGACGGGGGTCGTCTTATACGCCGGGTCACCATGTACGCCGGCATATACGGTAAGTTTTCTTTATAAGAAGTTGACATTGTCAGTTTATAATTTCTTTCCCACAAATTTTGCCATTTTTCTAATTCTATATTGTATCCAAAAAATTTTGCCCATCTTATCATTGTTTCTTTAACTTGTTCACTTTCTATTTTCAAAGTTAATAGAAAATTATAAATTTTCTTAATTAGTTTCTCATCAGAAGTTAATAATACCTTATCAAACAAAGTTTGCTCCTTGTATAATCCATACAGTTTAACATCTTTATCATATTTAACTTGCATTTGTAAATGTGCCCACCATGATAGATTGATACCCTGATTTTCCATTTGTTTAGATTTTAAATTCCCTTCAGAGTTTAGAATATCTCTGTATGTCCGGATTTTTTCAAGATCAATTAAATTTGGGTGTACAAATGTACAAATTGTTCAAAGCCACCCTGGAATTTTCAGATATATTTTACATTTTATTTTTTCCCCATGTTGTTAATAATGCATTTCTTATATAGTGATTTTGAAAGTACTTATGAATTTTATTTTTCCCATACTATAAGAAAGCATGCCACCCCAATTGTAAATCATGTCCCTCCAAATATAACAACCTTTTGTTTCTAAGAATTATCCATTCTTTTACCCATGTTAATACAGATGTTTGATAATATAAAACCCACTCTGGTAAACCAAAACCTCCATTTTCCTTGGCATCTTGTAACATTTTCATTTTAATTCGTTGAACATCTTGCTGTTAAGTATTTAACGTTTTTAACTATTTGTAGTTCTATTTTTCTGACATTTGTTTTGTTGTTGTTGTTTATCTGAAAGATTTCAAAATCTTTCACTATTAATGTTCTGAAAGTATGTCCCAAAGATGCTTTTTCAGGAGGCCACCGGACTTTCTTGTTTTTCTTTGAAGAGGTTTCACTTCTCATCCAAGAAGCTTCTTCAGCTCTGACTGGATGGTGGGGAATAGAAGGATTTATATTCCTTGCAGACTGCTGGTCATTTGCGTTCTTTTAGCGAGTCGTTGAGGCCATTTGGAGGTTTATCTGTGTTCTCAACAGTGAAGGGATATATGGCAGAAAACATCCTGCAGCCAAGAAGGCTCCACACACATTTGCACTACTTAGGTGACCCTGAGGACACAGATAAACCTCCAAATGGCCTCAATAGCTCTCTAAAAGAATGATAAACTGTCTGCAAGGAATATAAATTCTTCCATTTCCCACCATTCAGTCAGATCTGAAGAAGCTTCTTGGATGAGAAGTGAAACATCTTCAAAGAAAAACAAGAAAGTCTAGTTGCCTCCTGATAGAGCTTTGGGACAACAACCATGACTTGGATGACTGAAGATATTCATGAAGAGGCAGTTTCAATGCCATATATATTCATATTCTCTTCAATTTCTGCAAGAAGACAGTCCATGCTTGTTTTCAAGAGATAATTGTAATATTTTGAATTCTTGTCTGCAGCATTCTTGGAGAGATACCGACCAAATCCTGCAGCAAGCTTCTTGCAGATGTACTGAGGAAAAACCAGAGATTGAGAGTATTAAAGTTGTCCCTCAAGAATCCAGATGACACAACAATGGAACTGCTGTATGATGGACTTAAACATTCAGAATGTACAATAGAAACACTACAGTGAGTGATTTTTTTTCCCCTTTCACTTTGATCCATATAATCATCTTTTGTTGGTTAATGTTCTGGAAACATATCTAGGGAGAAGCAGTTCATTTGCCATACATAGTCATATTCCCTACAGTTCTTATAAGAATTTTGTTCCCTGCTTGTTTTTTAAGAAATAATTGTAAATTTCTGGCCACATCACTGCAGGCTTGCTGGAAAGATCCTGACTGAATATTTCAGAATGCATCTTGCAGAAGTACTCAAGAGAAACCAGAGATTGAGAGTGTTAAAGTTGTCCCTCGAGAACCCAGATGACAAAACAATGGAACTGCTATATGATGGACTCAAACATTCAGAAAATACAATAGAGACACTACAGTGAGTGATTTTTCTCCCTTTCACTTTGATCTATACTACTTTGATGGTTAATATTCTGGAAACATATCCAGGGAGAGGCAGTTCAGTTGCCATACATAGTCATATTCCCTATAGTTCCTATAAAAATATAGCCCATGCTTGTTTTTCCAAGAAATAATTGTAAATTTCTGAACACATCACTGCAGGCTTGCTGGAAAGATGCTGACTGAATATAGCAATAGACATCTTGCAGAAATATTTAAAAAAAAAACAAAAAAAAAACCAAGATAGCAATAACGTTAGAGTTATCCCTCAAGAACACAGATGATCAAATACTGCAAATCCTTTTTGAGGGGTTCACACATCCAGAAAATAAAATAGAGGCACTACTGTAAGCCACTATACCTTACATTGTACACCCAAATTCTTACCATGTTTAGCTTTGCTCTTGATATAATTCAAATTTATAAATGGGAGGGTGCTACGCCAGGCAATCTTAAAAGGCCAGTTAAGACCTGGGCAGCAGCATCACCAAGTTCATCTGTGAGATATAGCATATCATCCCTATAACAAGGCTTGTTTCAGGCACAAAAGAAAAATATTACTACGAAGCTGCAAGACGAATGTAGACTTGTCTCTGCAGTGGGCTGGGGATGAAGCATGTTGTGAAAATATGGCCTTTAGAAACTGTTAGACATTTTGGGGCCATTTGAAGATGAGTCCAAAATATCAAACATGGTTGTGTTTTGGGACATCCACAACAAGCAAATGTTAAAATGTGTCTCATGTCTCTTATGTACTTGCAGATGATATGATGCATATTTTGTCATTTGCTTCTTTCATCATCATCCCTCCCCCTCCAATGCCCATGTTGTCTTCCATTTTAATATGATTAGTATAAAGTATATTTGCTTTTTCACCCATGACCAGGTTTCCACCAATGTTTTTCCCTTAAGAGGCTCTGATGGATTTTTTCCAAGAATTAGCTATTCAAACTAGCTGTACTTTTCAGCTTCCCAGACAAACTCTGCCTACTACATGGCACCACCACCCCCCTCGTGTTTTTAGTCAATCCTTTGGGATCTACTGCTCTTTAGTGGAAAGGAGGGAAAACCTGATCCTGAAATCACTATTCCAATTCACATGACTCATATGCTCTCGGATACTTGTTTAAGCCTTTCAATATAGTGTGTGAATCCTGCAGATCTCTTGGGTGCTGCAAAAGGTAAGAAACCAGAGTGAGATCTACTGGCTCCCCATTTATCAGATGCCAGGCAATGGGGAGACATATCTTCTGTCATTTTTGAGTCTGAAATAAGAAGAAAGAAATCCCTTTATTTGTGTGAAGGCTTGCTTGAAAAGCATCCAGGTCAGCTTCTCATTTTAGGCTCATTCTGTACTTTTCCTATAACAAACAACAACACATTCATTGTATCACTATTCCATTACTTTTTTTCAAATTTGATGGGATCTTAAGCTACTATTTTCTTATATATTTTTTCACCTTCCCGATTTGTCCTAAGAGATTGTTTAGGGCCTTAAATCAAAGTACTTCTTGAATTGTTCCTGAAATAAACCTTTTGTCTTGCATCAAAATGAGCCTTTTGATCAATCCCCCAATTGCAAAAAGTGGTTTTACTCGGAGTAGCTTACATCCTGTGACGATATCTGTACTACCATCAAACAGCCCCATCTGCCTATCCTAGGACTTTGAAAGGACTCGATAGGTAGAAACAAACGCCAAATCCAGTCTGAACATCTGGCTGACTGTGCAACAAACCAGAATAATCCCCTCCTAAATTGGATAAATGTTATACTGTAGGGATAGCAAATCCTCCAAACACAATGGAAATCAAGTGTACCTGAAAAGAGTGAAATCAAATAAATCCTGGAATTCTGTGGGGTGGATCAGATTGGAGGTCAGAAATGGTCATGTGGGTCCCTGCACAGTCTGATAGAGACGTTACTGGACACTTATCTTTTGATGGGAGATTAAAGTAATATTTTATTTTTCATTATAGGGTGAATGAAAAATATATTATACAGAATGGAAAATGGATGGATGTGAACCATACGGCTAGAGCCTTCATTGTAAAATTCTTCTCTTTCTTCATGCTTGCTTGTTTGATCTATTTTTATTTTATTTAATCTATTTCAAGTGAAGTCTGAAGAACTTTCTTTCAGTGACTATAATCTGAACTGAGGACTTTTCTCTTTGCAACTGAAAAATTCTAAACTAGAGGGATAAAAGTAAGCCCATAAACCTGTTAATGGAAATTGTACCGTGTTTCCCCGAAAATTAGACCCAGCTGGATAGTAAGTCCTATCTTGATTTTTGGGGGTGGGCCTAATATAAGCCCTAATCCAAAACTAAGCCCTAGTGTCAACGCTGCTAATATCAGATGTTCTTGCTTTGATAACAGATGGAAATGCAGCCATTTTTCCTCTGTCGCTTTTAGAGTTAGTTGATGCTGGGAGGGGGGATGTGGAAGAGAGTCCAGCTAGTCATAACAAGAGTAACTCAGCCGTGGGAACCAAAGGTTATTAGGTCCAAAGCTGATAGAGATTTGGTGGGCTGGGGAGCTGGGGAGAAAGCCCACACTTCAAGTTAATTGGGGAATGTGATTTATGACTGTTAATTGAAGGAGGAAATTGTGCTTTGCTACTTTGTGCCAGGGGAGGAAAATTCAGTTTTTTGCTTCAACTATGTAGTGCCGATATGTTGTTTCTTGAATAAAAGATTCTTTAAGAAAAACAATGCCTCGAAATTCTTTTGAAGAGATTTATCTGTTGGAACATGTATATCCCTAAAAATCAAGCTAAGATAGGTGTACGGGGGATGAAGCTGCCCCACGTACCCCATACCCACTTATCTTACCGGTAGGACCACCACAGGCAGGCCTCCCACACCCTGACACCTGTCGCGTGGCTACTTGACTTTTTCTGCAGCCACTTGCCACCACTTGTGGCCGGACTGTCGCTCCTCCTGGCAGGATGCCGCATGGTACTTCAGGCCACTTCTGCTGCTTGTGCGCTTTGGGCTGCTTGCACAGCGCTTTGGGCTGCTTCCACTGCTTATACAGCACTTCAGGACGCTTCTCTTGCGCGCTTCAGGGCACTTCTGTTGCTCACAGCAGAAGGCCATCTGGAGCTTTGGGCTGTTTCCGCTGTGGAAACGGCCCAAAGAGCCACACAACATCCTGCCGCAAGCAGCAGAAATGGCACAAAGTACCATGCAGCGTCCTGCAGGGAGGAGCGGAAACAGCGCAAAGCACCAAGGGGGATCCTGCCGGGAGGAGCGGCAATAACACAATGCTCCACATGGTATCTAGCTGCAAGTGGCGGCAAGTGGCCGCAGAAGAAGCCAAGCAGCCGTGCGACAGGTGTTGGGGCATGGGAAGCCTCGCTGTGGTGGTCCTAAGGTATGACATTCTCCGAAATTAAGACCTAATGCCTCTTTTAGAGGCAAATATATATATATATATATAAGTCCAGGTCTTAATTTGGGGAAACACTGGTAAAATAAATTTAACAATTGTTTTACATTGTGAGATTATTATTGTCCTTTGAAGTCTGAATAAGAGAAGGAATATTGGCTGACTGTTTGATTAAGTGCCATCAAGTCCACTTTGATTCTTAGTGACCAGGCAGACTAAAGCTATCTGGTTTTCAGTATTTCTATGGCCAGGTAGCCAGCCAGATGTGCAACACTCCAACCATTTTCAGAAGGGAGGAGTAGATGTGCTGCACTCATCCCTGGTCCACTGCCAATGCCACCTCCATTCCTGTCTTCCTGCTTCAAGATGAAAGAAATCCTTTCTGGCTTGTGCCAATTACAGCGGAGCTTAATTTGTTTGTTCTGCTTTTCTTCCTTCTGGGAAACTCCTGTCCTTCATTTAGCATTGGGGTGCAGTGGCTGGGATGGCCCCTCATCCAGGTTAATGGTTACTGCCCTGCCTGGCCATTTTGGGCCTGGACCATTTAACCTCGGACTTACTTTTTTTTTCACTTTTTTATCCTCCCAATTCCTTCCACAAGTTCAATGATGGAGTAGTGAGACCACTACATTTCTTTCCCTTGTTTGTTTTTCCACATGGGAGTCATGATGAATTCTGGGCATTTGGTACCTGGTCTCCTCCTGTTTTATTTCAATGACTGTATCAATCAATCAATCAATGGGCAGGCAAAGGCAACCCATGGAAGAGTCACCCTCATGTGCCCATCAATAGCAAGATCTAGCAGTGGGAGGAAATGGCAGCAGAGGGATTGGCCAAGAGGGACATAGTCCAGATGGAGCCTGGCTAGTCACTGCTGGAGATATCACAGTCTAAGCCAGTGATGGTGAACCTTTAAGGGACCAAGTGCCCAAACTGCAACCCAAACCCCACTTATGTATCATCGGGTGCCGGGGGGGCGCGTGGTTGCAGTGCTAACAGCAGACTCGGTGGGACTAAAAAGTTCAATCAATCAATTCCAACTTTGCGAGATCTTTCTTTCCCTGCGAGAAGTTGAAATTGATTGAACCTTTTTTTTTGTACATGGCGAAAGCAAAAAGGTTTTATAAAACCCAGCTGAAGACCTACGACTGGGGCGACGTGCCCACAGAAAGGACTCTGCATGCCACCTGTGGCACGTGTGCCATAGGTTCGCCACTATGGCCATAGGAAATTCTAGGGAGTGGCTACTGTATTGTAACTCTCTTCCTTTGTCTTCTCTCCAGTTCCAGACTGCTGTCTCTTGTCACCTCCCTTCCCCCTTTCTGGAATGTGCTACCTCCTTCTTGGGAAACTGCCACCTCAAAGTGGTCCGTCGCTCCAGTTCCCCCCTCCCCCGATAGGCCCCCATCTCTCACATCAAACAGCCAGCAAGGATTACATCAGATATTTTACAGAGGGTGTTTGAAGAAATGGAAAAGACGTCAGTTTAATTGATAGCACCAATGATAGTGTCAATAGAAGAAAAATAGATAAATTTGGAGGAAAAAATGAATAAAAACTTGAAGAATCTGAAATAAAAATAAGGAGATATATTAAACAAAGTAAGAAAAAATAAAAATTTTAGAAGCCAAGACAGAAATAATAACTCAGAGATTGAAAAAGAGTTAGATACTTTAGCCCTATTAGCCCTAAAAGAGAAAGATTTTGTTTGTGACTGAGGACAATCCTAGAAGAACTTGGTGACGACAATGGAAAAGATAGGGTAATTCAGGCTTTGACAAAATTTTGGGAATGGGATGAAGAAGAGGAAGAAGTGGATAACGTGGATAAATCAATGCAAGAGAAGCCAAATTACAAAATGTACCAAGAGATGATAAAGCATTTTGTCAGGAAGCAATGAGAAATCAGATTTTATAGCAACATTTCAATGCTAAGGTAAAAAATAGGCAACTCAGAAATAATTCTGCTTAAAGAAGTTCATATTAGCAGAACAAACCTCAACAGAAGAAGATATTATTTAAGTGGGGCAAATGGGAAGGACTGTGTCTAACTTTCAAGCATTAGAGATTCTTACTTAATTCAGTTGAGCATTAATTCTTTGACAGATTCAAGGTGGAACTTGAAGAGTTGCAAATGACTATATTGGAAAGAATTACTAAGAGTCACTTTGAAAAGTGAGAGAGGCAGTATATACATTAAATTAAGTAAATAAGTAAAAGTATTTATGCGGCTAACACCACAGGGAGTGATGAGGAAGATATTGCTGCACTAAGCGCTACAGGCATAGATTTTTCAAATTTTATAAACTAAATATTAATACTTAATGTGGAATATAAATGGGGGAAATGCCCCCTCCAAAAGAAAAAAAAATCATTTTCTAAAAAAGAAAACCAGGCTGCAATTTTTCTATAGGAATTACATATAGGAAAACAAGACAAAAAAAATCGATGTATAAAAATTTGGTAGAATTTATTCCATCTGGGATAAGTAAGAAAAATAGACTTACCATACAATTACAGCCATCAGTGATATTATCTGATGATCAAGGTAGATATGTGGGTGTTGAGATTAATCTGAATAAATTTAAGATTATGGTATTGAGGGTTTATACCCCATGATGATAAAATTACATTTTTAATGAACTTATAGAAAAATAGATTTGTCATATGACAGATAGATAGATAACCTTTATTGTTATTTTTTATTGTGGGCACAATGGCACACATTAAAAATGAAAATTAGTTGCTCTCAAAGTGTACACATACATAACACACATTTAAAACATTCTATGTACAACATATTCTGCAAACTCATCCAGCCATCAGGATTCATAGCAGTTGTATTTCTTGCTTTTGTGTTGTACTACAGCATTATTTATTTTATTTCCATTTCTATGGTTTTACTTTCAGAAGATTTCTGAAATTCCAGTTAAAAAGCTGATGTCAACACATGTCTGACACGAATGAAACATTTAGAAGGACATTTATGCCATGGTTGCCGATATGAGATTTCAAAACAAAGAAAACCAAATGAGCAAAGGGTCAAAGAAATGAATAAAATTTAGGACTAAGAATTCAGTTTTGGTAGGTGGTCAGCTGTCTCTGGAAATCCAAAGAGAGAACCTATGACATTTAAGGGGGGAACGACATTAGCTAAACATCCAGTCAGATCATGAGACAACATATGTATGTCACAAAAGACATGGCCAGATTGCCCAATCAGGTATTAGGAGTCCCACCATTTCCAATCGAGAGGATGAGATGACATCATTCTAGACTCATCCCCAGACTACTGCCAGTACCACCGCCACTCCCATCTTCCTGCTCCAAGATGAAAAAAGTCCTTTCTGGCTTCTTCCAGCTTTAGCAGTACTTCCCACTTGGCCTGTTCTGCTTTTCTTCCATCTGGGCAACTCCTGCCCTGTGGCTACTAGGTGCAGTGTCACTTCATTTTCCTGCCATAACAGATCGCCCAGGCAGCCAAGCAGCACCATGGTGGCTACACCCTCCACCCGCGCCCTGCAGCATCATCTGCACATGACGGAGTGCAAGGGCGGAGTCTTGTCCCCGCTACCCGGCTACCATGGCCTTGGCTGTGCTGCTTTGTGCGGGCCGTGTCCAGGGGCAACTCTCCTCCGGAGAAGCTGCTGGTGAGGAGGGGGCTGTGGGGGAGGCAGGGCTGGGGCAAAGGCACGCGTGCCCATAAAGAGGGCTCTAGTGCTGCCTCTGGCGTGCGTGCCATAGGTTCGCCACCACTGTTCTAGGACTTGAGGACAAGAAAGAAGATCTAACAAAATGGATTAAAGAGTTGTTAGGAAAATCATTAAAGTTTGGGAGACAAAAAACAAACAGTCTATTTAATTTATCCTTTTTATCCCCAACATCTACCAAAATACAGGAAAAATCCCCTGGCAAGCTGAACATACTGAATTGGAAAGCGATCTGGCAAAAGAAGAAGGCTAGAATCAGATTTTTGATTTAACTTACCAGATGGAGTACTATATGATTAAACACTTGTTTAATACAGTTAAAAGAATAGATAATGTTTGGATATAAAGGGGCCCTATAGTAAGAGGGATAAGATATATAGGTAGTATAATGCTTTTTACAATATATGAAATGTAAAAATATTGGGATGGTGTATATGAATAAAAAGTTTGGATATTTAAAGGTAATTAAACCCATTCTAGCACTAAAGCATAATTCTTAGGGTGAATGAAAAATATCACCAAAACTATAAAATACATTCCATTGTGGGGAGCCAAAATTTGCAATTATATGAAATATAAGATAGCCATTTTGTAAATAAATGGAAAATATTAGAGATAGTCTTCAACTTACAAATATTCATTTAGGGATAGTTCAAAGTTACAATAGCACTGAAAAAGTGATGACTGGTCCTTGCACTTATAACCTACAACTGTTGCAGCATCCATATGGTTAACTGATCAAAATTTAGGCCTTTGGCAACCAGCATATATTTACAATGATGCTTTTCCCAACTGTAAAGTTGCTGGAGGAAGCTGGATTCGCTTACTGATCATCTGATTCATTTAGCAGCTGCATTAATTCATTTAATAGTTATGGCAAAAACATTATAAACTCAGTCAAGACTCATTTAACAACTACCTTACTCAGCAATGGAAATTCTCGTCCCAATTGTGGCCCTAAATTGAGGACTACCTGTACTGAATTATTTTATGAGTGCAACTCATATATAGAATTGATGAGGTTGAGAAGTTGTGGTCAACATTGCCATAGTGGTAGCCTGCATCAACGCACCATTATATTTTTCTTCATTTCATAGAGAATGCAAATCATCCATCAGAAAATCTTGTAATTCCATCAGCACTATTGCAAATCTAAAAAGTCTTTTAAATATTTTATTGTGGACCCCCAATTTTCTCTCTGAATTATAACACATCAAACAGATTTTACTTGTACATAGCAAGCTAAAATATGTGTGGGGAGTTAAGGATGCTTGGAACTCAACTGTAAAGATATTAATTTATTTTGACTAAAAATGTGACTTATTCACGATGTGTCTAAATGTGTTTTGGCTGTTAAGATAGACGCTCTTCTTGTCTGTTCTTCCTTAAGACTGACTTGGAAGAGTGATTCTTGGGGAAGTTGGGGTAAAGAGGGTAGAGGGGGAGAATAAAACAAAACTAAAGGTCCAAGCTCAAAATGACCATGCAGGGTGGTGCTGCATTGACTATTAAAAGATGAAAAGGTGCTGAAGCTGTTTGTTCCTAGATAGCATGAATGGGGCTTTTCTTGAACAAGTTCAATAGTGTTGAGGATTAGATAACCACAGGATTAATGAAAAATGTATAAACCCCAGCACCTGCCTTGTCTATTGTGACACTTGAAATCTAATTATTTATGAACCTGACTTGTTGACTAATCATAACCTTTTCTCTTGCTTGATCTGGCATTGTAAATCTTTTGCTTTGGACTGCTGAACTTACTACTTGCCCTGCTCAGCTAAGTTTTATTCATAATTAATTGCCTTGCCATTGCCATCCGTGAGGACTATATTTGGTTTTTGAAGGGGTGCTAAAAAGCCACAATGGGAAGTTACTGAAGCATATAAAACCTGGAGATACAAGTGGTGTAAAGAACTCTTTGCTTTAATTATTATGAAATATATAATTTTACATACAATTATTCAATATTTTTCTGCAATTTCTCACCAGTTTGCATAACACTGCAATACATTTATTTAAAATGATCAGCCTCCTTCAGCACCCTGGAACAATCCAAAATAAAAGGGATAACAGAAGGAAGCTTCCAGTATGAAATAAACATTTTGTTTTCCTCACTTAGAAAATCTCCTTAGCAGAACTATTTGCATTTGCAATTTAACCTTCTTTAATTTGCTTCTGTTGTAACTAAAAAAGGGTGCTTGAATTCATTTTACTCTTCCCTCCCTTTATCCTTTTACTTACGTTTTGTTACTCTTAGACGTAAAATTATTCAATGCATCTTACAGAGGAGACTTGGGGCAGATTTCATTTGAGTAGATGGGGTTATGCTTCAGAGTTTGCTTCCCTTGGATGTGGAAATAGCTAGCAATCCAGAGAGAAAAGAATTTGACAAATGTATAGAAGATAAAATAGTGAATTGTTATTATGGCTAAAAACTACCATTTGTGAACACAAATTACAGAGTGAATAGAAGTTATACATTTAGTCCTCAACTGATGATCATTCAAAGCTATGACGGCACTAGAAAAAGTTACTCATAACCAGTCATCACACAACCATCACTGCATCCCTCTGCTGGCTACTGGCATATATTTATGACAGTCGCAATATGCAAGAGTCACATGATCACCATTTATGATCTCAGAAGGCTTCTGACAAGCAACATCAATGGGGGAAACTACATTTGCTTATTTCAGTGTGTGTAGAAGCCAAACATTACAAAGTTCAGAGTGACAGGCAGAGAGTCTGGAAATTCTGCAGGGCAAAATAAAGAGCTAGGAGGTTTCCACATGGTTTTCTTAGTTGTTCTGTGTCTGCAGAGATCCTGGGCCATCTTATCATATTGCATGTGCTTTTCTTCTCAGCCTAAAGACCTTTTTCTCCATCTTTCTGTCATTTCTTTCTTCACATATTAGAATGGAAACATCCTTCCTGGTCAAACTACACAGGCTACAGCGAAGGAGATAAAGTTAGGATAATTTTTAATATCTTTATTTTGTATAATTCAAGAAAGAATTGATCGTGAACTATACCTTTCACATGACACTCATCCATCATGCAAACTCAGGTTTTATTTTTCTGAAATACACAACCCCTTGAGAACAGGAGGGGTTACTTCAACATCTTCTATGGGAGGGGCTCCTAATGAACTATGCGTGCAGGGTTGTCATTATTTCTTCATTATCCTATTGAACTATGATATAATGAATTCTGCTGAGCTTAAATAGTCATTGCCAATCAGATATGGGCATATTAAGTCAGAACATGTAAGCAATTCCTGATTTCTCTGTTAATACAATCATTAAAAGACCTCCATATATATAAGAGGCAAGACACCACACACCTCTGGCTCAGAAAGAAAGAGAGAGCTGGCAAGGCAAGATGAAGCCTTGGGCTGGTGTCCACCTGATTCTTTTCCTGGTTGCTAGTTCTGTGGAGGGAGAAGTCTCAAATGATGGTACTGGAGGACTCCAGGACACTGAAGCCACTTCTTGTGCACGTGAGTCCCAGCTGTGTGATCTTTCAGCTTGGTTCTTAGCCTGAGCAGGATATCTATGTGCAGGAGCAGAATGTTGGTACTTAGTTTCCCAATAAAGCCAGTCATGAGAAAAGGAATACTTGTCTCACATTCTTTCTTCTGTTCACAACTACTGTGAGAAATCTAGACACTGCTGATTAGCAGTTTTGCAGGTAAAGAGATGGCTCAGGAACAGGTGAGGGGTGAAATCTGGCAGTAGTGAAGTTCTGCTTCATAAGCATTTCTTGAGGATGCTGATGGCATTTAAAGATTGGAGAAAGTTGAGTTGGGATGCTCTTTGAGGGAAACGAGCCCCTTTAAAAGAAGCAGTTTTAATAATCAATAAGTTATTTTTTAATCAGTAAAAACAGAATTAATCCTGACCTATAATGTTCAGGTGACATTTTGCTCAAATGGAACATATATTAGCTCAGCCCTGGAAGCTACAGTGGTTCAAAATGGAATAGCACAAGCAGTAACCAGCACGTCTCCTGGTGCCCCTATGTGACCACTGCTTTGAGAGTTGCACTGGTTGTCATCTGGCGTCTGGATGCAATTCAGAGTACTGGCTGTTCCCTTTAAATCCTGCATGGCATAGGACCTGGTTACCTAATGCACAGCCTTTCTCCCATTGTGTCTATCCACCCACTAGTGGGTCCTTCCTATTAAATGTTCTGCTCTAACAGGACCTAGGAAGCGTGTTTTCTCTATCATGGTCCCCTCCATCTGGAACAGCATCTTTTTACACATATGGACCACTCAGAAACCAGTGGAGTAGGAAGCTGTGATTGAATGTGCGGATAAGAGGAAGAGATGCTGCCTAGCAAAAAATAAAACAAGAGAGGCAGGAGCCCTCAGTGGCTAAAAGGGAATAAAAATACCAAATCCAATGTAAATATCTGGCTGTCTGGGCAACAAATCATCATAATAATAATACTTATATAAAAAAGTGACCTGGTAAGATCACATTTTGAAGTGAAAATAATATTTTTAAAATGTTGCAGCCCTGAAAGTTGGGAATGAGGGCTTTCTAAAAGATATACGTCTTCAAGTTTTAAATTTTACTTAGATTCACATATTTACCTAATGAAGAAAAAGAAAAGACGACTTCCAGTTTGCCATCGTGGCCGCCGCAGATGCTAGAAGGCGAGCTCCATCTTCCGCATTTGGTTTCACTCCACTGGGGGACACTGGAAAGGGTTGAAAGTCACTCTGTAGGGGCGACGAGCAAGGAGAGGACCCCTGCTTAATTGCAGGAGGGTGGCAGCCCTTCTGCTTGATCCGGGGCAGCCCTCCAAACCAGCAAAGACCAGCCATAGTAATATGGCCCGTCACTGGACTGCAGACAGCTGAAGTCAAACTTACCACCAAGCACTTTGAAAGCAATGAGAATGAAACTGGGTGAGATCCGATCTTCTCTTTACCCTAAGTACTTTCTTTTCCTGTAAAAGCTGCCTGAAGTATCTTTCCCCCTGTGAGGAGAGAGGGAAGGGAATTTCTATCCCACTCTCTAAGAATAGCAACGACTGACTACCCAAGGGAATTAAAGCACTAAAAGAACAACTTTAATCTAATTGGATTTATATGTTCCTGAAACTTGGGGACCAAAAATTTTCTTATTTTTATTGGAGATGTTTGCTTTTATCTACAAAAAAGCAATAAAATTGGAAAAAGGATTATAACAATTTTGGACTTAAAAAATCTTAAACAGCATCAGTGACATCTTGTGGTGAAGTTTGGTATTACAACTTGTTATTTCCTAACAGAGATTTGGCTCGAAGTCCAGACCTTAGATAAGACTCTTCTGACCTTGGCAACACCTGTGAGAAACTCATTTGTAAGAGAACAGCTGGGCAGCATAACTCGCCTGCTTGAACTGTGAATGTAAACCTTTACTGACTTTCAGAGTTATATGTGGAGAATTGCCTTCCTATCTCTTTATTTGAGGAATATGAGATGATGAAATATCTTGGACTATAAAATCTTGCTTGATAAATGATTTCTACTATAAAGACTATTTATAAACAAATGAAAGAAATGGATGAAGACCAGGAAATGATCCTTTCCATGTTGAAAGCAATACATGAAACTATTCTTTCAGCTTGTGATAAAATAAGACCTAACATAAAAGATCAAGATGCCAGCTTAGATACACAAACCCAAACTTTGACCACAACCAAAGAACTAACAACCCAGATGATAACAGAAGAAGTGGAATAATCAAATATTAAGACAGAAGACTCAATTGACCAACAAATACAGTTAATGGAAAATCCAGAAAAGGGAGTGACAACACTGAAAAGGGAAAAGACTTTTTATATAAATCAGAAGAAATTTGAGAAAGAAGAAGAACAGATTGAATGGATGATAAACATATCAGGGCAATCATGGGGAATTGGAATAATAGGGAGACAACTTAATGAATACAAATGAGCTAGTCCTTCCAAAAAATGGCAATTAAATGGTCTCTCTATTTCAAATAACATATAATAATATTTGACAATCTAAAAGCACTGATATGGAAGCCTAGTTGGCAAAGAAAGAAAGCCAGAAAAAGGCTGAAGAAAATTGGGGTTTTGATTTATTAGAGGGGATTTCATATTATTAATTAGCGGGTTAAAGGGAGTACTTAAGATAAGGGGAATTCTGGTCATTAGATTTAAAATATTTGGAAATTAGTTGAAAATAAGGATTTTATCTGTTTAATATTATATCCAAATAGATAAATTGTGTATTTTGGATATTAGATTCTGTTGTGAATTAAGATGAGGGAAATCTTGGTTACCTAAAGCCTGAAAATTATAAATGTTAAAGGTTAAATTGGAATATTGATGGGAAACTAAAAATTGGGGAAAAATTAATAACAGGATATGGATTTTTTACGAAGATTGAATGTAAAAAATAATTAAGATACGTATAAGGTAAAATGTATTGATAAATGTAATAATGATGTTTTTACCACGTTGCTTTTTAAATACTTAAATGTAAAATTTGAAAATTAATAAAATATTATAAAAAAAGAAAAAGAAAAGACTTTGTAATAGCCAAATAAGAATGGGTTTTGGGCTAGTATAAACCCATTAACCACAGGCTGAAGATCACTATGATACCATACATATTGTTTCCATGTATCAGCATTCGCCAATATGTACCCTCTAAGTGTGGAATTCAAACTCCCATCATCCTCAGCCAGCAAATACAACAGTACTAGAGATGCCTTCTAGGGTTCACCTTTTTCCCTGTAATTATCATGCTTTTTTTTTTTGTTTAATCGCTTTTTACAAGTTATCTCCATGAGTTCATTGCATTACAATAAGCATTTATATTCCTACAATAGAGATTATGGTGTTTTCACACTTGGGAACCCTCCACAAAGGTCAACATCTGTCCCAGGTATATATTTTCAAAGCAGAACTTGCTGGAACTGACCCACCTAACTCTCCCTATTCTTTCTCTAGAGACAGAAGCCAGAAACTGCAAAGACCTCCTGGAACGTGGGGAGACCCTGACTGGCTGGTACAGAATCTACCCAACTAAGGGGAACCCAATGCTGGTTTTCTGTGACATGGAGACAGATGGAGGAGGCTGGTTGGTAAGCTGGAGGGGGAGGAGGAGGAGGAGGAGGAGGAGGAGGAGGAGGAGGAGGAGATAATTATCTACTTGAACATATCAAAACAGAAGAGCAAGAAGCCCAATAAAGTGGGCTCCATGCTCCATTTTTGTTGCAGAATAATAGCAGCTGTTGAGGGGCCCATCAGCCTTCTCTCTTGTCAAGAGACTAGTGGTGGACAATTTGCAGTGCCAAAGTTTATTGAAACCCTCTTGGCATTTGAGCCCAAGGCAGCTTGAAGGTACACTTTCCTGTTATTGTGAGATTGAACAAACTGGAAGCCCTAAAATGGAGCTATCCCAGCTCCCAATTCCATCCATACTGTATATGGGATTGGCATTTCCCACTTTGTGGCCCATTGGGAGCCCTCCCTCGGGAAGCCAGCAAGTGAGAAGAACAGCCCTTCCTAGCCTTATTTGCACTTTCCCTTCTCTTGATAACAAGAGAGCTCAGAAGAGAGCCCATCATTGGTAGCTGCAGGGCCATCCAGACACCGACCACTGCCTCCATTCCTTGCAGGGGAAGTTCCTTTTCATCTATTATTCCAGTCTGAGTAGGGGATCTTGGGGGAGGGACAAAAAGTTAAGTTGGCATCTTAACTATTTGTAATTTCACCAGCAGACATCTCTGTCTCTGATTTTTTTCACCTAGCTTGGAAATATCCATATTTGCATCTCTCCTGCACTCCTCCCAAGGTCTGCCAGGATTCTCATCTCTAGTAATAAATTTATCACAACATCTTTATATTAAATAAATTAGGCTGATTGAGTCATCTGTCTAAACCAGGGGTCTTCAAACTTGGCCCTTTTATGACTTGTGGACTTCAACTCCCAGAATTCCTCAGCCAGCGTGCCTGGTCTAAACTTGTATACTGAGTTTCATGGATCTATGTGGGATTCTTTGTTCCTCGCCCCAAAATGCTCTAATTGCCACATCAAACTAGGCATGTTCTTCATGTATCTTTCCAGCATAGGGAACAAACTTTGGATTTGTTTATTGATTTGTTGATTTAAAACATTTAACTGAGAACACCAGGGTGTTTTTTTTTAACACAATGGGCAGCAGTTTAATTTTTGGGGATGATATAAAATATACCTATTTCCAAGACATGAGGCATCAAAATAGCTGTTTTAAGCAGCAAAATACAGTGACATCTGGTCTCAATTGCTACCTAACTATGACATAGATTCAATTCTATTCCTTTTGCAAAACCAAGCTGAAAACTAGTCCCCCACTTCAGAAGTGGCGTAAGATTAGAAAAGCAGCTTCTCCATCAAGCAGATGCTGAGGTATCACTCCCTTTCTCTCCACCAGCTCTTCCAGAGGCGGCAGGATGGATCTGTCAATTTCTACCGTGACTGGAAATCATACAAGAAAGGATTTGGAAGGCAAGGATCAGAATTCTGGTTGGGCAATGATAAGATCCATCTTCTCACCAGCTCTGGTAAGCCCCAAATCTCCTCTTCTATCTGATACTCAGTTTGATATTTTAAATCCATTTATCTAGACATTGCTTATCTTTATCAAAATTATTTTTTAAGGAAAGATGAGTATCAATCTTTCCAGAGTCAGTCCTTTGATAGTACCAAAGGTTTTCTTTGCATCACAGGAACAGAGTAAGCATAAAGCAAACACTCTGATCTGTTTGTGTCAATCCATTAAGACTTAACTTCCATTTCCTTCCATAGAGATGAATGGTATATTCCAAGTTCATAAATCTGGGTAAAACAGATATTCTTTCCTGTAATTTGGAAATTGTCTTGGAGCTTTATGCAGCATGATTCCCCAAGACGATTGATCACTAACAGAAGAATAAAATATTAGAATCAGAATAAAAGAAGAAAGTTGTCTTCTTTTTCTGGGGGACCATAAATTCTCCTGTTTTTGAAAAAGCATGTGGAACCAGGAAATCGAGCAACAATCGGTATCCCTCTTCACTGCCTATCTAATTAAAAGATAAAAGATCACTTTTGGATTAATTGTGCACAAAGTCCAGAAACATCCAATGCATGTGATTCTGTCCTTCTGTGTTGGTTAGTTAGCATTGCTTTTGAATGGACATGGCTCGTAATCCCACTGTGATCATGTTTTTATGGAATGGAAGTCTACTACAATATGCTTCCCTTATGGACTTCTGCATCTCTAGTATTCATTCTCTAATAACATCTATTCTTTGAAAATCAGGAACACAGCAGTTGAGGATTGATCTGGAAGATTTCAATGGTTCCAAAACTTTTGCAACCTATTTCAGTTTCAAAATTGCAAATGAATGTGAAAACTACAGGCTGACCGTGGGTTCCTATTTGGATGGCAACATGGGTGAGTAATACAGAGAATGCCTCTTTATTTGAGTACCTTCTGACAATGAATGTAACCAACATGTCCCTTGACCTGATGCAGAATGCAGAAACATTTTAAGCCAGGATCTGCCTAATTGCTTTGTGGCCTATCACAGGGACAATGATTTGGCCACATATCCTCTGCAAACTGCAAAACTGAACCCCAAACATCATTCCAACTCATTCTACTGTCCCCGAGTGGAATGTTGGGGAGGGATGAAGCAACAGGTTACCCACCTCATTTTTATTTTAATAAGTTCAAAATATATGACCCACAGACTATTTTCATACGGTATCTCTAGCTAGGGCAGAAGCCTTCAGAGGCTGTCAGGCAGCATAGGAAGGAATGAACCTTTGAACAGTGCACAGAGTCTTTTCCCAAAACAAAATAACTGAACTCAGTTGGTAAACATAGGGGGACAAGGGGTTTTACTTATATGGGTTTCCACTGGAAAATCCCAGAACTGACTTTGCTTCTGCTGTACATAGATGGATCTTTCAATAAAGCTAGACTCTTGGTGATTTAAAAGAGCCGAGAGTTTCTTTGGCTGAATGTGCCAAATGGAACAGTTGACAATTTCATTAAGAAACCCCAAAGTTCTCTTCCTATCGTAGGAGATGGCACTTTGACACATTATTTTATTGCATCATCTTGACTTTGGTGAAGTCTGAATCATTTATAGGATACCAGATTTAAAATGTGGGATAGAAATTGATTTATTAATGCATATTCTTGACCTATATGGTAGGAAAAATATTTCTATTTCCTTGGATTAGTGTTGGAGTGAGCAATCAATGGCTGATGCACCACTGAAACTCAGCAGTAAATGCCTTTTTTTCCCCAGTGACATAATTTCTTAAACCTTCCCCAAAGAGTAGGGTAAATAAAACTTCCATCCTGCTCCTTCTAGTTCTGATAGCATATCAAGGGAATGCTTATAATCCTTCAACTGGTTCAGAAAACAAAATGTTTTTGTTTTTGATCTCAGTCAGGTTGTCCATAGGTTGGTTTAATGTGTTAACATTAAGCATTCTGGTTTATCAATCATGATCTATAACAGGGCTTTTCAACTAGTGGTACGGGTACCACCTGTGGTACATTGGCACCTTGCAGGTGGTACACGACCATCCTAGAAAAGTGGTAGCGGAGGAGGGGAATGAGCTGAACCGGTGGCAGCACCGCACAAGCCTGAGCAAGAGATGGCTGGAGCTGCAGGGCTGTCAGGGCTCAGCGGAAGCACCAAGATCAGTGCCGCTTTCCAGCTGATTGGCGCCTCTTTGGAGCTGTCAATGGAAATGCTAGAATCAGTGCCAGGCTCCAGTTGGAGCTTGGCGCTGATCCTGGTACTTCTGCTGAGCCCTGAAGAAGCACCAATCAGCTTGAAAGTGGCACTGATCCTGGCGCTTCTGCTAAGCCCAGAAGAAGCGCCGATCAGCTGGAATGTTGCAGAGTCTTGTGATTTATATTCAGATGCTTGGCAACTGATTCATATTTATGATGGTCAGTGTCCCAGAGTCATGTGAATTGACCAAAACCTGCTGCAACCACCCATCAGACAGGGGGAATAAAAACCAAACAGCCCCCCAAACCACCTCCGCTGCCAATCCTCAACAGAAATGCTCACAACAATGAAAACCTCGGACAGGAGGAAGAGCGCCACCAGGTGGGCAGGCAGTTGTCTTGCTTGGCTGTGGCTTGGGGGGCACTTTTTTCAGTACCATTGTAACTTCTAAGAGTCACTAAGCGAACTGTTGTTCGAGGACTACCTGTACTTTATCACTTTTTTCTTTTCTTTTTTGGGGGGTCATCACGTTTTTGACACTTTGCTAGGCGACTGGTGGTACTCGGATGTTGCCGTATCCTGAAAGTGGTACAATAGGTGAAAAGGTTGAAAAGCCCTGATCTATAAGGTGGCCTGTAAGGTGGACCTCACAGTGATATATTCAACAACTTAAGTTAAGCTAACCATGATTTCAAGAAACAGAAACAACTGGAAACATACATTGTATCATTTTGACAGGGTTGGCTAATGATGCCAAAGTTCAAATCTAGGATATTGTGCACATAAATAATGTTCAATCTCTTTCTAATTCTCAGTGAAGAAGGTGCTTTTTTTGTTACTAAAATATCCTGCAGGTTTCCATTCCTGGAATACATGAACTCAGTGCTATCTCTGTGATTTTCTCCTTTTAGGTGATTCTTTCTCAGGACATAATGGCCTGGCATTCTCTACTAAAGACAAAGACAATGATGGCTTTGAACCCGCAAGTTGTGCTGCAAATTACAAGGGAGGCTGGTGGTATGGTGCCTGCCATTCTTCCAACCTGAATGGCCTGTATCACAAAGGGGAACATACTTCTTATGCTGATGGCATCAACTGGTATACTGGGAAGGGGTATCAATATTCTTACAAGTATGCGGATATGAAAATTAGACCACAATAAATGAAACCACAGTTTAACAGATTCTTCAACAGACATCACTCCAAAAGTACTAGCAGATTATTATTATTCTCTTTTGCCTACCAGAAAAAGCAAATCAAATACAATAAATCTTTAAAACTGTTCCTTTGTGTGTTCACTGTATTGTTCTCCCTTGTAGTACTCCCTTTTTTATGTATATGGGGATGGGGTTCAAATGCTTCTTCATTTTGCAAATTCTTTGAAAGAGAAAGATGCTTCTGAAAATTTTGCAAAGCTGACATTTACCTATATTGATCTATCATCTATAAGTAAAGTAACACAACAGTTCCTACTCATTTGTGTGTCTGTGCCTTATGAATCAACTTCAACAACAGGATTCACTTGGAACTCTGTCTTGGGCAAAGCACTCTTGGAAGCTTTTCATAAGCCAATTGCCTTAAATGACTAAGTTGGTAGAAGCAATATCTGAGATAGCCGTGTCAGTGTTTTTCATGATGAAGGAAATCTGAGGAATATAACTCAGATCAAATCTTTAGAATCAACTTGTAAGGAGAAAAATTCACTTCCTTTCAGCTACTGATTCAGCCATATAATTAACACTGAATAGGAAATCTAACTCACTAAATAAATTAGCCTGATTAGTTTCTGGGGCATCTACTATATCTATATGATCATTACATGTTTTTCTGAAGGACCTGGTGCTTTACAAAAAGTTCCAACCTTTGGGAAAGTGTTTTCAACACACCTACAATGTAATTTAGTACTGAGAGGAAATGCCTCCAGAAAGGAAACAAATCGGTCTCTCATCCCTAATCTGGATTGGTAACAGAGTGTTTGAATCTCCAGAGTATGCTATAAGCCCTTGAAGTTAGTCAGATGTGATGATTTATTCTACGTAACGAAGAACCCTCTCTCCATAATTGATCTTGAGATCATACAACTCCAGAGTGTCTTTCTGTATCCCTGTGTGAACTTCTACAGAATCCTTTTTGGATGTAAAATGCTGGGATGGAATTTTATAGCTTTTAATTTTGCTAAAATATCATAGCCATGTTTATTTCCATGTTTAATGGTGGTGGCATGGATATGGATATCAACAATTGCTGGAATAATTAAATTATCTGCATTGTTATATTTTGGCATAGGAATTCAGTGTACAACTGATTTAGTATGCAACTTTATAAGAATGTACAGCAATAAAGATAAATATACACAGGGCTTTTTTTGCCATAGAACACCCAGAACGGAGTTCCGGCACCTTTTTTGGATGGAACCTTGTAGGGTAGGCAAGGTGGGTTGTATGACATGTGTGAGTTCCAGCACCTTTTTTTTTTTTTTAACAAAAAAAAGCAATGAATATACATGTTCCACATTGGATCCTGCAAAAATTTACAGCCCCAGAGAAAACACAAATACAAAATTTAAGATATATTGAAGAAAAGAAACAAACATGAAACAATGAGAGGAGGGTATCACTTGGCTTCTGCAAACTATAGCTATTGCTAGAAAACTGGCAATCTTCATAGTGATTGTCCATGTTAGATCTTGCAGAAGGATGATTGTAAGTTCTTGATTAGAAAGATGAGTAACATTTCCAATAATTATGTTTCTAAGTGCTAGGCAGTAAGAGTACAATGGACAATGTAGCAATACATAAATAACTGACTCTGTCTATTATAAGTAATCTAACTACTCAAGGCTGAAAGTGAAATGTGTAGAATGTGCAGGTGTATCTAGGAATTGTGCCTGGAGATAAAGTTGCCGAATTTATATATTAAAGACTAATGAAGCCATAGTGGAATTGCAGCTGCAAAATGAAGTGGATGAAAAGAGATTTTGCCAGATCATATCTGATACTTAATTATTATGGAATGTAATCCTAGCCATATTTCTGATTAAAAAGTCAGCTGATAAAAATTGGCCTAGTCACCAATCATTGTGTATAGAATTGCAGCTTTTGGCTTTCTCCTGTCTTTGCCATATAGTTGGGATGAAATAAACACTTAGATTGCCCCTCATTCGGAAGCAAACTCTTGCTTAAATAATATTGTTTTATAAAAATAATATGGTTCTATTGTTTTATATACCGTAGATAATATGGTTCTTGATCAATTGCAATAAAAATGTACCATTGCTTTTTAAAGGACTGCAATGTATATCCAAAGACTGTGAAGTGAACATTTAAAATCATCAGCAGAATGTGATCAATAGAAAAAGATATGAATAAAGTTCTAAAGTTCTAAAAGATAAGTTTTTTTAATATTAAGCAAAAATCAAGAACAACCTTGATTTATTCTTGGGCACAACCTCAACCTCTCAGAGGGAAATTCAAAAGTAATCTTAGAAAGTATTACTTCACAGAAAGAGTAGTAGTAGTAGTAGAAACTTGGAACCAACTTCTAGTGGCAGTTATAGGTCAATCATCAGTAATTAAGTTTAAACATGCTTTGGATAAACACATGTCCAGCATCCTATGAAAATTAAAAAATAAAATAAAAATAATGATTAAAAATAATAAATACATAAATTAAGAATACAACGAAAACCTGGGCAAACTTGGTATTTTTCTGCCATCAGTTTTCTGTTTCTGTATTTTAAAAGGAAAAATATTTTTCACAGATCTTATCAAATCAAATCTCACCAAATTATTAAGTTAATATCCAGGTAACAGTCTAATATAAATGATAAATGCCAGCTGGGAAACATTCAGTAGCTAAAGTAATGGCAAAGGTACAAAGTACAAACCATAACAGTGTTCATATGGAGCGGGGGGGGGGGCGGAAGGGGAGGAACATTTGAGTTATATAAGAAGTTTGGTCCAGCAACAACAAAATCTGTCATCTGAAGGTGGGGCAGATGGGAATACATGTGCAAATGACCTGAATTTGCCAGGAGAATAACTGTGTGACACCTTGAAATGTCCTCAGAGTCACTTAACTACAGACACATAGATGCCTTTGCCTGATATTATAGACATGGAGGAAGCTGAGGAGAAGTAAACATAACAGAGGAAGCTCTGGAGGAAGCTGGTCAAGCAATGCACCAGTTTCTGTTTGGTGGTAGTGTTCTGATCCAGAGTTAAGTTGCTTTGTAAACCCAGATCAGACAGATAAACTCAATAAGAATGATTATAAAACAGATATTTTATTCAGAGATACTTGCATTTATGGTTGTTGCTTCTGGATAATACACATCTGTTCATTCTTATAGGTAAGAAATTAATACTTCCTCCACACCAACTTCTAATGTGGAATGAGGCCATCTGAGTCCTCTGATGGTTCCATGCTTAACTCAGACAAAGGCATTCCAAACTGGCATATAGCCAGGATATCCTGTGATGAACTTTAGTGGCTCCTCCCACAGATCTGATAACATGGGATTGCTGACTAGCTAAAACTACATTACCCATAAGCCATCTCTTAAGTAGACAGCACTTAACCCAATAAATGCCAAACATTCTAACATACAGATCTACATCCTCTAGTCAGGGTTACATGATCCAGAATAGGTAGACTTGTGTTTGAATGTGTGTTTGTGTGCGTGTCATAGGTGCCTGACTTTGTAAACCAGCTCCAAAGCGGCATCGTGTGAATTTTCATCTTAAGAAACTCTTGAAAGTTTAGAGACAGATGAGAATGATGATATAAGAACTTAAGGACAGGCTGAAGGAATTTAGGATGTTTAATCTGAAGAACTAAAATTTGAGGGGAGGAGACGGTATCAGTGTTCAAGCACATAATAAGGAGCCATAGAGAAGATGGTTAGGAACTATTTTCCATTGCCACAGAAGCTAGGACTAGAGATAATGGGTATAGGTTGCAGATACCTAGACGGTGTTTAAAATGAATGGAAAACCTTATTGATGCTAAGCTTCAGAAGAGGCTATGTATGGAAGTATGGGTTCTTCATCTCTGGAGATTTTTAAGAAGGGGTTGGAAAGCCATTGTGAATGAAGTTTAACTGGTTTTCCTGTGCACTGCAAAGGAGTGGACTAGATAGCTCTTGTGGTCTCTTTCAGCTCCATAATTTTAGTTTTATGACTAATCTCATCTACTCCTTTTGGACTTGGAATGAATTCAATTATACTTTTGCCTGCTGGATTTATAATACTAAAACTACTAGCTTATTTGCTCCTGTCAGTGGGCATGCATTTAGTTCATAAAAATTACAAACTTTTGTAAAAGCAAACATTGTTTACAAATAAATTTTCATACTGAAAGTCTTGAGACTTGTTGCAAGCTAAGATACTGCGTACTTAGTCTTTATAGTTGTATTTATTAGGATTGTCCATCCTTTAAGAAGCATTTGGAAAAACCTTTCTGACATATTTTTAGACATAGCATCTCTCTGTGGTTCATTAAAGCAGCCTGTCTTCTTTCCAGTTTCCATAGGCTGTGGCTGCTTCCAGAAACTGACACATTAATGGAAGTCTTAAAGCTTTTCAAGCTCATTCTGAAAAAAAAACTGACTGCTTTAATGAATAGCTGAGAGATTCCAAATCTTTAGCAAATACAGCCCCAGTTCCACAATTTTCCCATTAGTTTCAACTGGATGTTATGTAAAACTATTATTTACCTTAAAGAAGTTGTGTCCAAGTTTCCTTTTTTCTGTCCTTTTCACCCTATTCCCCATTTTTGCCATATCATTAAGATTGTCCCCATAAAAGGTCTGGTGTTTTTTTAACCTTTTTTTTTAACTGATATAAAAACCATTTCCAAAGTTTCTGGCAGAGGAGCAGGATTTTAAGAGTGTTATGTAAGAAAATAATAAGAAATGTACATATTATCCATGAGCTGAGCTAGTTTTATTTCACTCTTCACAGCCAAAAAATATTTAGCACTTCCGTTTCCTGCATTTCCAGCAGCTAAATAATGGCAGCAAGAGATCCATTTAAAAATCTGCAGACATGATCAGAACAGTCTCTGTCTCCAAGGCTTGATTTAATAATGACAGTTCACTATATGGTGTTGTTTTTTTTTAAATGAAGAGAAAAGGATGAGAAACTAATCTTGTGTTTCATA